TTGCTGTCAGTTTTCCCTTTAACACGAACTCCCTATTCTCAGAAAGGAGCTATAGGGTCAAAGTGGTTAAAACACTGCCTAGCTAAAAAAAAAGTCAGCAGTTTGAATCCACCAGTTACTCTAATGTGGCAGCCTGCTTTTGTGCAGATTGACAGCCTTGAGAACCCTATGGGACAGTTCTACTGTGTCCAATAGGGTGACTATGAATTGGAATTGCCTTTATGGCAGTGGGATGGGTCTTTCTTGGGGGGGTTATTCTTTGATAAATATTTATGTGTTGTTCATCTGTTGTTCATATTTATCTTTTCAGTTACAAAAACAAACTGAGCTTATTCTATAGTAATATTTGGAAATAATTATCATTTCTTCTTGTGGCTAACAGTCACTATTGTGTGGATGTGTATCTATTCAGCCAGTTTCCTATCTAGAGTAATCTGGTGGTTTCTAGCTTATTATTACAAATAGTGCTATAATTAACAGCTAAATGTATGTCTTTCTAAAATGTTTCCAGGAATATTTTTTCCAGATCCCATTTATTCTATGCCATGGATAACTTGAAGGGCTAACTTATTGCTGCTAAGCTGGACTGACTCATAGCTGACCCTGCAATCTCGAAGGCATGTGGTTTGAAGCCGCCTGCTGCTCCACAGGAAAAGGATGGGCAATCTCTCCTCTCATGTGATTTACTGTCTCTGAAAACCAGCTGGAGAGTCAGCTATGGGTCAGTTCTGACTTGAGCCCACACAACAGACAACAGAAATCACCTGGAAGAAGACTGCTCATCTTTCTTTCTTGAAGCTACTGGTGAATTTGAACTGCCAGAGAGCTGCCTTTGGATACCATGTTGTTGTTATATGCAATGAACAAGTAATTCATGGTAAAAAAATTTAACATGTGTTCACTAACCTAATTTCTATCACTAAGGCCATATTTTCTAGCTACTAGACTTTCTTTATTTCTAGTTTATGTATTTCAGTCTATTATGAATGCATTTTGAGGATATGTTTGCTCAGTCTCAGACACAGTTGATTGTTGTTCTTGCTGTTATATACTATCGAGCCAGATTCGACCCATAATTATCCCTCCAGTGGGCTTTAAGAGGCAATAAATTGCATGGGAGGGGATTGCCTATCTTTTTCCTGTGGAGCAGTTGGTGGATTTGAACTGCATGCCTTTGCGGTGGCAACACAACTCCTTACCACTAAGCCACCAGAGTTCCTTGCAGAAGCTGACAAAAACATTTAATTCTTTAACTTTAGCTTTGGTGGTTGATGCATAAATTTTAATAAATATTTAAAATAACAGAACTTCCTTGTATGTGTTTAGATATTTAGATATTATCCTATTACTGATTTTCCTTGTACTTATTAATATCCTTTTGCTTCAGGATAGATCTTGCAATGTTCTTTTTTATAACAAATATGATGTTATTCCTCTTCAGCAAGTCATTCTCAGCAATTGAAAAGAACCACAGCTTGAGTCTTTGAAAGCAAATTCACCTAATGAACTATGCCCACTGTTTGACTTCTTGACTGCAGCTTCTGTGGGGTTGATTGTAGAACCAGGTAAAATGAAATCCCTGACTTTAATCTTCTCTTCATTTATTGCGATGTGGCTTATTTGTCCGGTGGTGGGGAATTTTGTTTTCTTGATGTTGAGGTGTAATGCATATGGAGGTCTCCGGTCTTTGAGCTTTATCACTAAGAGCTTCAAGTCCTCTTTATTTGCTGCAAGCAAAGATGTGTCATCTGCAAAATATAGCGACACTCCTTTGGCAACATGCTGGTGGTCTCCCTCATTCCAGGGTGAGATTTCCTGTCTTTGTCCTGTGAATGTCTTTATAAAGAGGTCTCTGCAGAATATTTTTTAATCTGAGGTCTTCTAGCCTGTTAATGCTTACCTTCTGAGGCCATGTTTCTAAGTAATACCAGGGACATCTGCACTTTTGGGCTTTCATCCATCTACCTATTTGTCATACTGTGGTGGCGTGTGTGCTGCTGTGATACAGGAGCTGTGTCACTGGTATTTCAAATACCAGCAGAGTTATCCACAGTGGACACCTTTCAGCAAAGGTTTTGGACTACAGCAGACTAGTTAGAAAGGGCTGGAGTCTACTTTTGAAAATTAGTCAGTGAAAGCCTTAAATATCACAATCCTCTGGCTGGCTTGCTTTGGGCACACCAGGAGGGATTGATCGCTGAGGAAGGACTTTGTGTGTGAAGAAGTAGTAGGGCAATAAGAGTGCAGAATCTGGTGAAAAGGATTGGCACAAGAGCCACAATGATGACCTGAATGTGTTGGGGGGTGTAGGATGACACAGGGCTGGACATTGTTTTGTTCTTATACACAGAGTGGCCCTGAGTAGGAGGCTATGGCATTCAGATAATAATTCTTTTAGGAACCTAGCCAGGAGTCAACCTTCCTCTCATCATTCCTGGATAGAAGAGTGAAAAAAATATTTCACAAAGCTGGAAGAAAACACATGTGCCAAATACCACTTTTCCACTAAAAATACTCGGTAGAATTAAGGATTGAGATTTGCTTTTTCTATTATTATTATTATTATTATTATTATTAATTTTAATGAAAATTTACAGACATTTTTGGATTTCCATTCATTCATTGTTCCACTTGTCTTTTTTTTTAACAGGCACAGATCTGACCTCATATACCATGGTCATTTTCACAGTGACTCCAGGTGATAAATATCTCCATTACCCCTATACTGTAGGAAACTGAACTTCAGTGATGCTAAGATGCTTGGCTGAAGTTACAGAAGGGAGAAGAAAAAAAGCCAGAATGGGTCAATTCTAACAAAGGATGCAGAAGGGAAATTTATGAATTGTGTCTTTAAGCAATCTATGAGAGTATATATACTTATTTCTCTTTTAAAAATACAAAGCAAATAGAAAAATGATTGCTCTCCCACTGAACTGCTGAAAAATTTATTCTCAAGAGTGACAACTTTAAAGAGGTGGTTGCAGTGTTCTACGTCCCAGACATTTTATGAACCGCAAATTGAGAGAGTCCAGATACTTCTAGCCTATAAATGACCATATTGATGAGGCTTAAGCCACGCCACTTGTCATGTTCTAGTTCCAGGTCAGTGCAATTTGAGTTTTTAGTTTAAATGGTGCTCTCCTTGTTTTTCCTTTAAGACATTGGTTTGGTTTTAAATTCACTTCAAGTTTCAAGGAATGTATGTATCCTCCCCCACCTTTTAATCCATCTTTGTGTTTAATTGCTTGACCAGGCCACAGGTAGGTGCCTTCGAACCAAAGACAAGAGCTAGTGTTATAGAGTGCATTCCAACTCCCTGGGCCTGAGATAGGATTTCTGAGGTGAAAGTTGACTACCTCAACATTGACCCTACAGATGTCAACTCTTGCCCTTTGGGTTAACAGCGTATTGAGACACCGCCGGAGGTGCTGCTTTAGATTCCTTAGCTGTTTATAACTTCTCCAAATGGCAACCCAAGCACCATAAAAAAAGGGCGCGCTTCTGTGGCTCAGTGGTAAGGAGTTGTCCTGCCAACCCAAAGGCAGGTAAGTGGTTCGAATTCACCAGCTGTTCTGTGGAGAAAGATGATCAATCTCCACCTGTGAGATTTACAACCTTTGAAAACCTGCTGAAGGTTGGTTCAGACGCTGGGGCCATTAAGAAGATTCAGGAGGAGCAGTTCTTTAACACTTTGACTCTAAGTCAGGAGGAGCAGTTCTTTAACACTTTGACTCTAAGTCACACACAGAATTGAGGCTGATTTCACAATAGTGCAACAACCAAAGAAGTGAGGCACAACACACCCAAACTCTCTCCTGTGTTATCCACGGGGGTGGGATAAATCATCAGAGCGTGTCCCCAGAAGCCCTTGCAATCCTGTGTGCTCACCCAAGAGTTAACTGTGTGTGGGGGGCTCAGCCCAGCTCCAGGAAGGTGTCCACATGTGACCCTGTGCTCTCTCCTCTGCCAGACACTTGCTGCTAAGCCTTAGCACAGTCTAGAGGAATGAGGTTGTGGGCATGCTCTTTACCTCTATTTCAATGTCTCCAGCCATAATGGTTAATTAGCAATTTGCTACCCACCAATATGCAAATGAATGACAAGCAAAGGCCCTCTGCATCCGTAATTAATTTGCTGATACACACGCCGCTTCCCTCTCTGTGTAGATTTTTCTGCGTGTGTGCATTCATGCATCAGGGATTTCATTATTTTTAGAAGCAGATTCTGTGCATTTTTACGCTTTGATACTTTCAGGCTTCAGTAATTACAGCATTTTAGAGCTAGACAGGCCTCTCCCCTCCCCTGCCACCCCAAACGCATTTATCAGGGGTTCTTTTACAACGAGCAGAGAGTAAGATTTATCAAGGGGCTGAAATCCAAACAGCAGAGAGAGTCAGCGCAAGATTGAAAGATACACATTTCTGTGGCTGCCAAATTCTTCTCTGGAACCGGCGGAGTCTTGTAATATTTGATTTTCTCCCAAGCAGCTCTGGCGAGCCGAGCCTGATTAACGTTTATCCATCTGCCTGCTTTGGAGGTGGGTTGCTTTACTATTTGGCGGTGTTAAACGCTTTGCGTTTTTTGGCCAGGGCTTTGAGAAAAGGCTCTCATGTTAAATTAAGTCAATTAATAAATGGAGACACATTAAGCAATCAATTTTGTCAGCCTATCTCCCAGCATTATGTATGGCTGGCTGTAATCACAAGATAAATGCAGTGTGCTGATCTATGGTAATGTTCAATAATACATTCTCCGCCAGCTCAATTCATCGGGGAGTTTCAGTGGAGAGGCATTTGTTATTGGCTGTATCTGCACCTCAAGGATAACATTTCTGTCCTTTCGATTGGCCGCCTCGCTGCTGCAAGATCCGACCCGTCTTATTTCCATGATGGATGTGAAGGCGCGCTGAGCCAGGCTGGAGAGCTGAGTCTCGCCGGCTGCGCTCCTGCCACCGGCCTCGCAAGCTTCCTCCGCGCCTCCCCGGTGCCACCCTCAAAGTTGTGATGCTTTTCTTCACCCAGTGCTTTGGGGCGGTGTTAGAGCTCATCCACCTCAGGTTCCAGCATTACAAGGCTAAACGGGTGTTCTCCGCCGCTGGCCAACTTGTCTGCGTTGTCAACCCCACGCACAGCTTAAAGGTGAGTTGCCAGCTCTTGGATTTGTTATCATTCCCGCCCCTCGCTCGGGGTCCGGCACTTGCCGCGAGGCATGTGTGACCCCTCCTGCCCCTTGCACCAGCGCCGTACAGCGAGGGGCATGGTTCGCGGTGCGGGCGGTGAGGGGCGCTGGAGGACTTCCCAGCTCCTTCCCCTTGCACCCTAGCTGCTTGGTGTTGGTATCAGTGCTAGCATTTTGTTTCCCTGCCTGGCAAGAAAAGCTGAAGGGATAGCCTTATTTCTTTTCTACAAACTGGCAGCTTAAGAGTGAGGTGGAGGTGAGAAGTCAGGTGGTGGGGCAAGTGGGGGTGCATCTCATGCCCCCCAAGTACGTGTGGTCAGTCCCTCTGAAGCCCTATTTGAAAAGTTGCTGTCCTTGCAGCCGTGTCAGACCATATGTTTAGAAAGTCAGTAAAGCACGTGAATTAGGGTAGCCCCTCCCAGCTGCCATAGAAGCTTCAGGGCTGAGGAACAGACCTGAGGGGAGCTTAAGAGCTGCAGGGCTGCAAAGTGCTTGCCCTTGTCCTCAGCGTGGGCAAATGTGTGTGTGTGTCTTTCCCCTTTCCTGCTAGTTAGCCATGCCCCTTCTGTGAGGGCGGGGAGAGGGACACTTGGCCTCAGTTATGGGAATGAAGGGATTCTGAGTCACCTCTGTATTTGTACCTTAAGGTCGTAGTGCGCTTCAAGCGAACAGCCAAAATATGGGACCCTTTGCCTGATAGGGTGCCAAGTGGGCAGACACTGCCTGGCAGTGGTGGGGGAAAGAGAAAAGGAAAGGACATAGCTGAACTCCCCAGAGTGGGGAACTCTTAAGCTACCTCTGGTCTGTCCAGGGGGAAAGACAGACTCCCTCGGAGTGGCCTTCCTCCACTTGCTTCACCCACCCCAGGCAGAGTGCCAGGGGAAGGGCCCTGTCTGCAGGTTAGGTCCGTCCTGACCACCACAGTGAGGCCTGGAGATCGTGGCCTGTTGCTTATCACTTTGTAAACTCCTGCGAGTGAGACTTTTCTCAGCCTCAGGAGCCCTTCAGGGCAGCACAGATGGGGGTTCTCCCCAAAGTGTTTCCTGAGCATCCCTACCTGGGGCCCTTATGCCAAGGCCAGTTCTGAGTGGAGGGGCTCTGAGGAGTCACGGTCTACCCACCTAGGAAAGAGTGTCTGTACTGCTCAACCTTGGGACAACACTCTCTCATTCAAGCACTGGACTGCATGATCTCATGCTTTCTTTCTCATCCCACTCTTTCTTTTGTACTGTACTTGAGGGCTTAGTGTTAGAAATTCACTCCCTGTCATTCTTGGCAGTGTAAGCATAGGGCCTACATATTAAAATATGATCTGAATTCCATTTTATGGCCACTTTGAAAACTGCATTCAAACACCCATTATTTTGTCACTTTATATTAGTTCATTCCCTGCAGCATGAAATTTTGTGTACTCCTGTTTTGCATTTTAATGCCTTTAAGAATTGTTTCTTTCTGAATTTGGATGTGTGCTGTTCACTGACTGGAGTGAACGAAGTGGGGTGGCTCATAAGTGAGCTAATGTCTTGGAGAGGCCTGTGTGTCTTTTTATATGATTTTTTCCCCCTGACGTTTGGCAAGTAGTCCTGCTGTCCTGACCCAAGCTGTATCAGCAGTGAATGTGCATTATTATACTCTCCGCCAAGAGATAATTAGTCTGTCATTGCAATGCTTTGTAGAGTCCCATTGTTGTTAGCTGCTGTCTGTCGAGGTGGCTGCCAGAGTTATGTTGGCTCTGGACACAATGCCCTGATCCTATGCTGATCCCATGGTCAGTTGCAAACTACTGTTATCTGCCAGATTTCATGAACTGGCTCTTTGGGAAGTGTATCACCAGGCCTTTCTTCCTGTGCATCAGGGAGCTCTGCTGATATAGTCCGTAGATAGTTACACTGCTAATCAAAAGGCAATGAATGAATGGAAATCCAAAACCTCTGTAAAAAAAAAAAGGCAACATCTCTGCAATGGTTCGAGTCCACCAGCGGCTCCGTGGGAGAAAGGTGAGCAGTCTCTTCTGGTGTTATTTACAGCCTGTGAAAAGTCACTGAGTTTTGAGCAACGAAGCAGTTCTGATTCGATGACAATCAGGGTTTTTTTTTTTTTAGATCAGGCCTTTTTTCCTAGTCCATCTTAATTTAGACATAAGGCTGCAACCGGTTCACTATCATAGCAACATACAAGCCTTCAGTGACAAAGGATGGCTGCACTTGAGGTGCACTGGCTAGGAACTGAACCCAGATCTGTGTGGAAGGCGAGAGTCCAACCAATGAGCTGCCTCCCCTAGGGAGTTGTTTGGATTTCAGAAGTTGCTGCTTGAAGCTTTCAGGCAGTTTAGCCATCATGCAAGCAGTACCAATGATAAGAAACATGTGCTTTGAATGGCTATCTCCATGCTGCCTTTTTTTCATATGTACTTCCATTTGACTTTTCATTTTCAATGAAAAACCACTTAGAAGTTTTGCTCAGGTGACTGTCACTGCACATAAGCTTAGCAAATTATGTGCTGCAAGGGTGCACCCCCCCATCCCCCCCCCCCCAGCAGAGTCACTCAGGACTGGCTGCCAGGGCGACCTCACCACCCAGACACCTCTGCGCATGAGCACCAGGTCCAGCTGGTCTTTTAGGTAAGTTTTATCTGCTCCTCAAACCTGAGAGTTACAGCCCTGGCAGAGCACTGAAAGCAGTAATTCCACAGAAGCAGCATGACTCCATCCTTTATATGAAAAGATATGCAAAACCTCGGAGGAAAAAGAGTGCTCCTTCAAAACACGTATTACCACAAACAGGCCGTGGAAGTATGTCTTGTTTATATTAAGCAACAATCTATAGGGAGGTGTCCTTTTTTTGTGAAGAAGAAAGTAAGCTGTGGAAGGCTTAACCCAGAATAGCCATTGATTTGTGGTGCTTACCCACTCTTGCCTGACAGACCAGTACCAGAAAGGTGACCAAGGACAGCAGAAGACAACCTGGGTCCAGTTTTCCTGGATTGCAAACAAAGAGGAGCTGAGGAGCTGGTGTTTTTCTTTGTGGACGGCTTTTTCTCACTTGGTCCTTGCTGGGGCTTTCCAGGGGATGCCGATACCATTTTAGAGGCAAGTGCTGAGTTACAATCACAATGCACTTACTTGAGTGTAGAGCACTTTCCATGTTGCCACAGGTCACCTTCATTCTCAATCTTATTATGGTGATTTCTTTGCAACCTGGGATTCCTTCAAGCCACGCAAGGCTTTCTTTCTAAAAGCCTCCTCTGGATCTCACGCACTCAGGTTAAAGCCATTCCACTCATTAAGCCCACTTTTATTAAAGGGTACAGAGTGGCTAGCCTTACTTTTAAGGGAGGCCTGAATTCACCGGAGCCCCTTTGCATAGAATGCAAATGAGACTGGGCTTCCAGGTGTCAGTCTGTGTCTCTATACCATAGGGCTGATGTCATTGCAGTCTTGGGTCCTGCCTCCCACCGTAGAGCGTGTGCCACCCAGCTTCCTGGCTGGCTGCCCTCCGCTTCTGCATTTGTGTGGGTGCTGGAGCAGGGCCAGAGGTTTGTGCTGGCCTGTGCAGCCTCCTGTTCCTGGTCTCCTTCAGCGCTCATGTCTCCCTCTCATACTTTGTTTCCAAATCAAGAAGGCCTTTCTCTGGTGCTCCCACAATGAACTGTCCTGGGCAGCCTTTGGCCCAGTCTGCAGAGCGGTGGATTGGCCTCAGCTGGCTAGTCCCCTGGGCGCAGGTTTCTCCAGAGAAGGGTCTGCAGTCCCTCAGGTTGGCCCTCAGCACTTTCAAATCACACTGGCTTCTCTTCTTACCACAGTGCTCCAAAAACTCCCTCCGGAAAGAGGGTCCTCTGCAGAAACAGAGACTTTCTGCAAATTCCTCAAAGGCCCTCACTGATGTCCCCATCTGGTGCCAGTGCCGCTGCTACATCCCAGTGTTGTCCTATTTCCTCCTGGGCCCTGGCTGGCTGGTACATGGTCTCTCAGGGTGTCTCTGTTGTAACCCATCAAGCTTGGAGTTACAGGTGAAAGCACACACTGACGCACAGAATAGCAGGGACGGATGGGCCAGTGATGACTGGATGAAAGTGCTTGACAAGTAATAAATCTACAAATGGACCATACCTGAAGCATCCACATTCCACTGTTCCAAAGCCAACCTGGGTATTGAAAGGATGGCAAGGAAAGCTGTCTGAAAGAGAGGGTGAGATTGGCAAAGGATGACAGGAGGCAGACATCCCCTCCATGTTCCACCAAACCCTGAGAATCCGTGCACCCACAGGGCTCTGCTCCGCTGACTGCTTGGTGGGCATGGTCAGGCAGAGATACAACTGAAGTCTCCCTGTATTGTTTGTAGAGTTTTAGAAGAGGATTCCAAGAAGCTGCTTTAAAAGCTAGTGCCCTTATTCACTGTTGGTGGCAGTGTAAAATGCAACCACAATGGAAGGCTATATGGTGCTGTCTTAAAAAGTTGCAAATAGAAATACCATTTGACCCAGCAATTCCACTACTGGGAATACACCCCAAAGAGACCATAACTGCCACCCAGGCAAATATATGCACACCCATGTTTATCACGGCTTTGTTCACAATGTTGTTGTTGTTATGTGCCGACGAGTCGTTTCCGACTCATAGCGACCCTATGCACAACAGCCCTAAACCCTGCTCTATCCTGCGCCAACCGCACTGCCTCTGACACACCCATCCCAATTACCCCAGTCACCGAATCAATCCATCTCATAGAGGGTCTTCCCCTCCTGCGTTGTCCCTCAACCCTCCCAAGCATGATGTCCCTCTCCAAGGACCCATCCCTCCTGGCAACATGTCCAAAGTATGTCAGACGAAGCCCCAGAATCCTTGCCTCCAAGGAGTAGCTTGGTTTAATCCTCTCCAAGATGAATCTGTTTGCTTTCCTGGCAGTCCAGGGTACATTCAGTACCCTTCTCCAGCACCACAGCTCAAAAGCATCCACTCTC